AACTACTGGGCCCCCAGTGGGGTCAGCAAGTGAGACTGGGACAGGTGTTGCGAGTGGTGCGAGTGTGGTGCAATCACGAAAGAAGCAACGTGATGCGCCTGAGTCAAGTGTGAAAGTGTGCAAGGCCTCAGCTGAGGCAGGACCTGTGGCAGTAGACGCACTGGCACCTAAAGCGTCGGCAGACTCACGAGCACCTAGAGCTGCAGCAGACTCACTAGAGCCGGGAGCAGCAGCCTCTACACAACCAGGGACGCATCGCTGAGAAGCACAGTCGCGAGGGTGCTGCAGGGAGAAGGTGCGTTGCGAACGCTGCTGCCGCCGCTGTGCAGTACCCATAGAACCAAAACCTCCACCACCAGGACTGCCTCGCTGAATAACCCACTGCTGAGGGGTGGGGTCGTCCGGGAGAGGCAGTGACTGCTGCTCACCATCTCTAGCCGCTACAACTACCGTGATAGTGGCCATGACAGGCAGTGATGGTCGGTAGCAGATCCAGCACCTCCAGCACCAGCAGCACCTCTAGCACTCCCAGCAGCACCTCCACCAGCAGCAGCACTAGCACGAGCAGCAGCAGCAGCAGCAGTAGTAGCAGTAGGGCGGCTCGGTGGGGCTTGCGAATAAGGTAGGGCGGCGCGGCTCGGGTTGGGCGGGGCGGCTCGGGCTGGGCGGCATGGCTCGGCCTGGGCGGCGCGGCTCGGCAGGGCTGGGCGGCGCTGCTGGGCAAGGCAGGGCATGCTGCGGGCTGCAGAGCAGGGCGCGCGGTGGACAGGGCAGCAGGGCGCGACGCTGGGCAGGGCAGCAGGGCGCAACGCGCTGGGCTGCAGTCGGGCGCGACGCGCGGGCTGCAGTAGGGCGCGACACGCGGGCTCTAGCAGGGCGCGACGCGCAAACTCCAGCAGGGCGCGACGCGCGGGGCAGTAGGGTGCGACGCGCGGGCTGCAGGGCGCGATGCGCGGGCTACAGCAGGGCGCGACGCTCAGGACAGTGGAGCGCACGCTGGGCAGGGCAGCAGGGCGCGACGTGCTGGGCTGCAGGGCAGGGCGGTGCGCGGGCCTAAGGGCAGGGCAGCGCGATGCACAGGCTGCAGGGCAGCTGGGCACAGGTTGCAGGGTAGGGCGGCGCGTGTTGGGCAGGGCAGCAGGGCGCAACTCGAAGGCTGCAACAGGGCGCGACGTGCGGGCTGCAGCAGGGGAGCGCGCTAGGGTAGGCAGTGCGAGTAGCTGCAGGGCAGCGCGACACTGTGCGAGCAGGGCCGGACAGCGGAAGGGCGCTTCGCGCAGGAACTAGCGGAACTATCGGTGGGCCCTAAAAACCTAACAGGTTTCCTGCCTTTGTACCATGTTATAATCAACTGAGCTCGAATGACTAGAAACAGGGCAGTACAGGTTTGTATAGGCTAACCCTAATTGGGGTTGTACCTCGTACTGAGTAATCCATTATAACCTAGCAAGTAGAATTGTATTTTGACACCCCCCCCCCCCATTTTTTCACTGTATTTGTAGCTATACCCTAGGGTGTTATGTCCGGGAGAATACGGTAATGGTCAAGCTAGCCATGGAGTATTATTTATGACAAGGTTCTTGAACAAGACTGTCGAATCTTTCCGTATCACCCCGGATAGTAGCGCATATGCGCTTATAATAAAATCGATTTTTTTAGGGGGTGCGCTGGTAATTGAGGAAAGGGCATAAGAGCATGCGCTTATAAAATGGAAAAAAAAAAAAAAAGAATTTTGTTTGTAAGGGTACCAAATCGAAGCTCTCATGAAATGCAGGCGAAAACAGCAGCGACTCGATTTCCCACCGCACAAATCCTGTCCCGGAGCAACGCATGTGCCAACGCTGACTCGGAAGCTGCCGTGCGGCCCCATCCCTTGTCATGCATTGCCAGGTAGGGACAGCTCATCCGATCCCTCTAGAAGGGGATCTAATATTCCCTGCCACCGCAGCATGTGTGCCGCCCATTTTCATCCTCTGCGGGTTCAGGCTGTGGGGGTACCCGTCTATCATTGACGAGGACGGCGAGCCGCTTCCCCACAGGGGTCCCGTCTAAAGTCCATTTCTTCTCATTTCTTGCTGGTTTCGAATCAATTTAGCATGTTTCGCCCGCCAGGCTGCGAAAGCCATGGCGAAATTCACTCGCACCCACTTCCTTTTCAAGAAGATGCCTAGGCCCGCCTACCGTGCGGACGCTGACGGCTGGTATTGCCGTATCCCACCATCGCCCCCAGAGCCACCGCAGCCTCCGGCGCCGCCTGCGCCGCCATCTCCTCCATGGCCTCCTGAACCTCCAGCTCCACCTGCTCCTCCGAGTCCACCCGTGTTTGCCGGCCCATCAAATCCTCCCGTGCTAACGCTCCTGCACCCGTCGGCTTCGACGAGTACCTGTCAGAACCTGACAGCAACAAGCCCCCCGACGTCTACGTCCCAGCTCCGGCCCTGGCACCACGATGGGGCCAGCCGCAAGATTGTGCATGGGACGAATCTACTGTGGGCGCTGACGACGATGTGCCCGACACCGAGGCTGGCACCGAGGCCGGCACCGACACTGGCACTGACACTGGCGCCGAGGCCGGCAACACGGCAGATGTGTTTCCCGAGGGTGCCCCGGGCGGCGAGGACGACGACGGTGTGGAGTATTGGTTGCGTGACGGACTTCCCGAGAAGATCCCTATTCCTACGTTTCCTTTGGTTAACCGCAAGTGCCCCCACCCCTCTTATGAGAACTGTGATTCCCACCCCCCCTCTCCCAGGCACAAGCCGTCGCAGCATAAGCGCATCGCTTATACCGCGCAGGAGAAGCTGCAGTGGATTGGACGCATGGATGTGGCGGTGTCGCTGCGGTCGTTGTCTCGCGAGTCTGGAATCCACCGCAAGTGTCTCGCGGAGTGGAAGAAGGCTGCCGCCATGCTCAAGGAAGCACACTCAGCACGGAAGCGGATGCATGGGCGCGGGAGGTAATCGTGGTACAGGCCGATGGAGCTGAAAGTCTACGCGAGGCTTCTCAAGTGGCGCCGCAAAGGAATTGCCGTCTCCGTCGGTCGCCTGCAGGAGTGGTCGAAGGAGTTCATGAAGGTTCTGTTCCCCGACGTGAAGTGGAAGGGCAGCCAGCGGTGGTCGGAGCGGTTTCGGAAACAGTGGAATCTGAGCGTGCGCATGAAGACGAGGATTGCCTAGAAAACTGCCAAGCGTAAGTACCGAATTATTGAACCGTGTGCTTGTTGTGTTTTTTATCAAAGTTGTTGACTAACCACTGCCTCTTAACATTGTCCGTGTGTTCGCAGACGTCGCAGAGCTGTGCCAGGCTTTCTGGCAGTACGTTTGTGACAAGCGGCGTGAGCGCGGCATCGAAACCCGCTGGATTATCAACGCCTACCAGACGCCGCTGTGGCTGGAGATGCCCGCCACGACTACTGTGGACGAGACGGGCGTTCGCTCAATGCCCATCAGGAGCGGGGGGTACCAGAGGGAACGCGTGACCGTGATGCTGGCGTGCACGGCCGATGGCGAGAAGCTCAAGCCGGGGGTCTTTTTCATGCGCAAGACGGTGCTGAAGGGTGACTTTCCGCCAGGTAAGAATACACCACGGTCAACCGATGTTTGGTTTCCTAGTCGTGATACTAACGCCTGTTTCTTGACTGTCTGTGATATCGCAGATGTGGTCGTGGCGGTGCATCCGAACGGCTGAATGGATGCCAACGGCGTCATGCGCTGGCTCGAGGAGTGCGTCAAGCCCTTCATCCGGCCTCGGTTCGGCAAGCAGGTGAGGAGTGCCATGGTCGTCCTGGACTCTTACGGCGGTCATCTCACGGACGAAGTGAAGCAGAAGTTTGTCGACCTCGACATCGTTCCGGCGGTGATCCCGTCGGGCTGTACGGCGGAGGTACAGCCCCTCGACGTCTCTATCAACAAGTCGGTCAAAGCAAGCATCCGCCAGCAGTATCAGACCTGGTTTGAAGAGGAGGGCCAGGAGCGGCTGACGCCTGTAGGTAAGAACCCCACCGTTGATGGTTAGTTGGCTGCTTCTTTTCCTGGTGTATCCTGTGCTAACACCATCTCCCCCACTCTGACTTGTGCTGCAAGGAATATCAAGAAGCTGCCCCCTGCGGTGGTGCTCAAGTGGATCGCACGGGCCTGGAAGGCCGTGCCACCAGAGCTTATCAAGAAGGCGTTCCTCACCTGTGGCATCAGCAACTTGCTTGACGGCAGCGAGGACAACCTTGCCATGGCGCACTGTAGGGTCGTCGCTAGCAGTCATTGTTTGTCTGATTGGCTGATATACAGAAGTGTTTTTTTGGATGAGTCTGATGGGCCAGTCAGCATCACACAAAACTTTTTTTTTGCCCGGGGAACCCATCTGATGCATCAGACGTCCCTCAGACCCTAGCGACGACCCTGGCGCACAGGCGGAGCCAGCTGACCTGCGAGGTCGATGTCGATGACGAGATCATCGCCAACGGCTTCTTTGGCAACAACTGTGAGGAGCTGGAGTCGGACGGCGAGTAGATTTCTAGTTAGGGGTGTAAATCTTAATGTGCAATGAGATCATTGGTAGAGAGGTATGTTAGTGTAGGAAATAGTTTAGATTAAAAAAAAAAAATAGTGGAAAGATTACCCCTTGGGGGAAAGGGATGCGCTTTTAAAAAGTACAGGCATTCTAGGGGGTGCACTTATAATTGAGGACTGGCCATAAGCGCATGGCTCCTGAGAAGAGCCGGCGCCTTTAATCAGGCGGCGCTACTATCCGGGGCGATACGGTAATTACGTGTGCCAATCCCGATAAACTTATGATGATAGTTGCTGCGGCTGTTGAAGAAACTCAATACAGTCACATTCGATCCCAGCTCCATGTCTCCATGAAGCTCCAGTGCTGCTAGCTTCGACTCGTTCACCCACCCCAGGTCCATCTCCCTGTCCCCGCGGAAAATGACATGCTGTCCGAGAAAAGAATAGCATGCCATACCGTTAATAATGATCCAGAATCACAATCTCTTACCGTGACTAGGACAAATCAGCGTCGTTACGCATAAACACCTCGTACTCCCCCGACCAGTCCTTCTTGTGATGAAAATTGCTGCGGCTGTTGAAGAAATTCAGTACAGTCACATTCGATCCCGGCACCATGTCCCCATGAAGCTCCAGTGCTGCTAGTTTCGACTCGTTCACCCACCCCAGGTCCATCTCCCTGTCCTCGCGGAAAATTTCGCCCTCGCTGCCCTCGATGTCGATCTTGAGGAAGTCGAATCCGGGCAGCCCGAAAACTTTCAGGAGGAAGGGCACGGTCACGCCGAGAAGGGAGTCCTCCACAACCTGCCCGGGCTCGAGCTGGAGGGCGGGGATGAGCAGGCAGAAGAAGACAAGAAGTAAAGAGAACGTTACTACCAGATGGGACTGAATAGCCATTCACATACTACAAAGCAAACCACCAAGAATGGCACTGAAGGAAGCATGCGACTCACATCGCGCGTCTCCTTGACCATGAAGGCCCACTGGGGGGGCAGCTCGGGGTTCCTCTGCCCGAGGGTGAGCGAGAGGGAGGCGACTCACATGCTACAGCTTCTGATGCCATCCAGAATGCCACGCGCATGCTACAGCCACCACGTCCCCCTCACATGCTACAACCGGGCATCCTCATGCAACTCACATCGCGCGTCTCCTTGACCATGAAGGCCCATTCAGGTGGCAGCTCGGGGTTCCTCTGCCCGAGGGTGAGCGAGAGGGAGGCGACGCGCGGCCACAGGGCGGCGTTGACAGCGATGACGTTGGGGAAGGGCTGGGTGTTGAGCTTCAAAGAGCGGAAGTTGCGAGACGACGCCTCCACACTGATGATCGTTGCCTTGGGGTACCTGATGGGTTACCAGTGGGTTTACGGCGTATAAAAGAGATGAGCATAGAGGTCTAGTGTTCAAGGGTTCAGCGCCAGGATCCGGCATTGGGAATTCAGCATTGAGGGGAAATTGGTCTCAAGGAGACGAAGAAAGAGATGGCATTGATGTCTGGGAAGGGCTGTGTGTTTGAGCTTCAGAGCGCGGAAATTGCGAGACGATGCCTCCACGCTGATGATTGTTGTCTCCTTGGGGAGCTGATGATGGGGTTACCAGGGGTTTCGGGCTTTAGGTTTTAGGCTCAAGGCCTGAGCTCTAAGATTTCGGTTGTGCTAAGGTGGAATATACGGAGGGGTTGATGGGAGAGCGGTCCCTTAGCGAAGAGCTCATGTGCAAACGGTATTACCCCTGGAATCAAGCTGAAGGCCAAAATTATCAATACATGGGTTTCGAGGAGAGAGATGCTACATGGTGGCAAAGAGCACGGAGGTGAGGCGTCAAGGAGAAGGTGAAAGGTATTAAAACGAGGGTCTAGATTTGACAAGCGGGGGTTCAGAAGTTTTTGTTTTGAACCAGGCTTGCCAGCGCGAAAGTGTTGACTAGCGAAAACCTGGATTTCGTGCGGACACTTTTCCTCCTCAGTAACAGTTCGCCAGGGTTTTTGGTTTCGGGTGGCAAATGTGCACCGTCGCTTTAAGGTCAAGAACAAAAAAATATTTTGAACGCGGAAAAGAAAGTGACCCGCTCACATGGTGGCAAAGAGCACGGAAGTGAGGCCGATGTTGGCCCCGGCGTCAAGAATGGAGTCAAAGTGGAAGTGCGGCTTGAGGAAGTTCTGCTCGCCCCACTCATATGCCTGCCGCACCACCAGCGTGTCTGATGCAGGGAGGGAAACACACACGGGGAAAGGGTGTGTATTATGGTTTCTGGTGTGTGTGATGGCCGAGAGACACTGGAGGATGGAGTGAGTGCAAAGTATGGGCGTGAAGCCCAAGTGGGAGTGCGGCTTGAGGAAGTTTTGCTCGCCCCATTCATATGCCTGACGCACTACCAGCGTGTCTGTGCATAGCAGCAGAGGGAGAGAGGCGGCAGGGGGTGAGTGGCGGTAGGGGGTGAGTGGCGGTAGGGGGTGAGTGGCGGTAGGGGGTGAGTGGCGGCACAGGGTGAGTGGCGGCACAGGGTGAGTGGCGGCACAGGGTGAGTGGCGGCACAGGGTGAGTGGCGGCACAGGGTGAGTGGCGGCACAGGGTGAGTGGCGGCACAGGGTGAGTGGCGGCACAGGGGCGAAAGTAGAGTGGAGGGGAGAGCAATGATTAGGTTTCCATGTCATTCCATGTCGTCATATCATATCATTCATTCATGGATGTCATGTCATATCATGTGATTGCATGTCCTGTCAGGTCACGTTAGGCATGCGGAACATAGGGGTTTCGCATGTGCTCGTCGAAGCACAATGCAAGCAGGTGTTCCATAGACCCCACAAGCATGTCTGGCAACAAAGTACCGCAAGGAGCGAAGTGCCAGTGGTGGGCACGTGATTCGAAGACGCCTGATAGATGAACGACAAGGAAAGCAACGAACCAGCTAGACCTACCAGTGGTGTTCCTCCGCAGGTTATACCCATTCACGCACGGCTGTTCCTAGCTACCCCCAGGTTCTCATGCTGCTCTCAAGTAACCCACCAGCTGGCATAAACAGGAATGAGAAGCACTCCACTAGTACTACCCCCTTTCCAGAACAAAAAAAAAGCAGCCTACCAGTGGTGTTCCTGCACAGGTAGTAGCCATTAACGCACGGCTGCTTCTTGCTGCACCCCAGGTTCTCATGCTGCTTGCACGCCAGCACGCACTCCCCCTCCTCCTCCTCCCGCACCCGCGCATGCCCCTTCTGAAACTCCTCATCCAGCGCCTTCCAGTCGATCCACGCACCCCATTTCAAAGCAGAAAACAAGCACCCAACAGGGACAACCCTTCTGAACTCCCCCAAAAGTAATTATATCTCACCGGTGGTGTTTCGCCTCAGGTAATACCCATTAACGCACGGCTGCTCCTTGCTGCACCCCAGGTTCTCATGCTGCTTGCACGCCAGCACGCACTCCGCCTCCTCCTCCTCCCGCACCCGCGCATGCCCCTTCTGAAACTCCTCATCCAGCGTCTTCCAGTCGATCCAAGCACCGCCATAGAAGTACCGGTTGCACTTCCACCCGCAGCAGTGCCGCAGCGCGAGGATGGCGCGCAGCTCGCTCTCCGTGTACGTGCACAGGCGGCGCGGGCCCCTGTGGGAGAGGCGGAGGACGCTGTTGGGGTTGGCGGAGGCCCCTGTGAGCGCGGAGGGTTCGAAATCCGCGTGCGCTGTGCTGGATTTGGCGATGCTCTCCTGGAACTGGCGTGTGGGAAGAAGGGAAGTGGTGGGGAGGGGTAGGGGGCAAAAGAGGAGGCCTTGAAGCCTCTTTCCGAGGGCCACATGCACCTTCCACCAGTGGCGCAGCGCGAGGATGGCGCGCAGCTTGCTCTCCGTGTACGTGCACAGGCGGCGCGGGCCCCTGTGGGACAGGCGGAGGACGCTGTTGGGGTTGGCGGAGGCGAGGGCAGTGGGGTCGGATTCGGCATGCGCTGTGCTGGATTTGGCGATGCTCTCCTGGAACTGGCGTGTGGGAAGAAGGGAAGTGGTGGGGAGGGGTAGGGGGCAAAAGAGGAGGCCTTGAAGCCTCTTTCCGAGGGCCACATGCACCTTCCACCAGTGGCGCAGCGCGAGGATGGCGCGCAGCTTGCTCTCCGTGTACGTGCACAGGCGGCGCGGGCCCCTGTGGGACAGGCGGAGGACGCTGTTGGGGTTGGCGGAGGCGAGGGCAGTGGGGTCGGATTCGGCATGCGCTGTGCTGGATTTGGCGATGCTCTCCTGGAACTGGCGTGTGGGAAGAAGGGAAGTGGTGGGGAGGGGTAGGGGGCAAAAGAGGAGGCCTTGAAGCCTCTTTCCGAGGGCCACATGCACCTTCCACCAGTGGCGCAGCGCGAGGATGGCGCGCAGCTTGCTCTCCGTGTACGTGCACAGGCGGCGCGGGCCCCTGTGGGACAGGTGGAGGACGCTGTTGGGGTTGGCGGAGGCGAGGGCAGTGGGGTCGGATTCGGCATGCGCTGTGCTGGATTTGGCGATGCTCTCCTGGAACTGGCAAGGGGGAAGAAGGGCAGAGGGGGAAGGGGGGAAAAGGGGAAAAACGGGATGGGGAATGGGGAATGAACGCGGAGGGTTCGAAATCCGCGTGTGCTGAGTTGCCTAGGCAAAGTTCCCTGGAACTGACGTGGATGAGGAGGGGGTAAAGGGGGAAGAGGGGAGAGAAGGAAGATGGAATGAGTACCTAAGGAAGTTGGGAGAGGGTATGAGGTGACGCCTTGAAGACTGACGCATTTCAGACGATAATGTAGGTCAATAAAAGCCCATCCAGCATTACCAGAACGGAAATCTCCTGGAAGCGTCGGTCGAGGAGCTCCTCAAACGCGGCGGTTCGATTCAGGTCCTCTTGTATCGCGTACGAGCGCGCAGTCATGTTGGCGTTGTGCATGGTGAGCACGGCGAGCATCACCACCACCGACACCACCAACGCTGCTTGCAGCTGACGTGGCACGTGGCTCGCCGGGTACTTGGAGTCGAACACCGGCCGAGCCATCTGCGACACTCTCGGTGAAACGACAACTGCGATAACTACAGTAACTAAAGTTTGTACAGCAAATAGGGTAATTGAGAAATACCGATAGCTACACTAACTACGGGAGCTGAGGATATGAGAAACGGACAATGTAAGAGCACCCTCCCAAGAGGCACGGAGTTTTCTGGCTGTTGGAAACTGGTTCCTACGAGGAGGTTTCGTAATGCCTTTTACATGAAGCTCCAATGCAGTGGGCTACACAGCATCTGATAACGTCGTGAATGTTAGTGAGTGTACTTACGAGAGCGATGCTTGCCTTCGGAAATGCTATCTTACGAAGGTGCGACTGCTAAGCATGGCATTGTGCACTAGGCACTAGCCAGATTCAGACCAGCCTGCGTGAAACGGAACGGGATGGCAGGTATTGTCGGGTGAAACGAACGTTGTACTAATCCAATCCGGAATTTGGCGGCTGCGCTTGTAACGAGATGCTAAAGTCACCTGCTAAGACTCGACTGAGTCGTGACAAGCGCATGCAGTAGTGAAAAGAGAGAATGCTTGATGACACACCGAGGTCAGACGAGCAACGCAATGAATCCCAAGGAACCGCAACAGCAGCACCGAGATCACTAGATTCAACCCAACGCCGGAATAAGGGGAGCCAAGGCAACAATGGAGGAAACCGCTGGTGAATCGACGTGTGCTGCAGATTTTCAGAAGCCACGGAACTAGGTGGAGTGATGAGATCCAGATTTCTAACATATTGTCCAGGTTTCACTGACGACTCGCGGTAATCCCTGCTACGAGCTTCCATCTTACAGCGTGTAAATTGTGTATCTTCGTTGAAAGTAACATTGCTGGGATTCAGCTGCAGTTAAAGATGGGTCCTTCAAATCACACAGTAAAATGCATGGATTTTCTTTTACAGCTCATTTTTAACAGAATGCAATCATGTTTTCATGTGTGCATTTCTTCCAACGTTAATAATGTGTATTATAGTGTCTTGCAAAAATATATAAATAGTCTTGTTTAAAATACATGTTATCATGTGCGCCACCAGAAAGTAGTCGTTGCTGGTGACGTCGCGCGAGGACAGGGCTTCGCCGTGCAGAAGCAAGCAACTCTCATTGGCAGGCTGTAGGGTGATTGACGGGGATTCCGTTTCCCCCTGACACACAACGGCCCTCGGATTAGCCACTGAACGGTCAGATACATTTTATTCACTGCGCGGACAGTTTCATTCGGGGAGGGAGTCGCCTGGCGACGAGCGGTAACAGTAGGTAACCGGGCAGCAATTCCCCACCGAGCAAACTTTTCCGGCTACTCTGGGCAGCCTAGGCTCGACGTTTTCTGGTTGTTTGCCCATGGGGTGCACCACGCCTGGAGCGCACTCATCAGGGAAGTCACCAGCCAATTTGGCTGAGGAGAGCATTCATTGGCTGCCAGACTTAATGAACCTCTATCATTGGTTGATAACGGAACCCAGGAATCGGCGCATTTCACGGCAGCTTTTGAGCTCGATGCCTCCATGAGCATTGCGACTCCCAGCAGAATTTGCACAAGTGTTCCCAATTTGCCTGAGAAGATTCACGGGCAAATATTGCCTGGCAATTCTCCCAGCAATATTCGTGCCTCTCCGCGTGGGCGAGCAAGTGAGCGGAGCCTCGAGCAACTGACTGATTTGCCAAGCGGAAACCAGGCTCAAGTAGTCAGCAGGCCATCCAAGGTTATCTCATTGGGGTTTCAGAGCTTCAGTTCCCAGCTTTCTTTGCTTTCTCTCTTAGTTGTTGAGCGACTGTGTCAGAAAGAAGTTTGTCTTATAGTATTCGGTTGGTATTTGAAGGTCCTTCCACCAGAGGCTCGCCTGTCATGCCGAAAGCAGCGAAGGGCAAGGAGAAGGGAGGGAAGAAGAAGAAGGACCCGAATGCTCCGAAGCGGCCGTTAGCTCCGTACATGTTCTACTGCAAAGAGCAAAGAGAAGTCGTGAAGGCCAACAATCCAGACGTTTCCTTCGGAGAGCTTGGGAAGATTCTGGGAGCTCAGTGGAAGGAGTTGGACGACAAAGAGAAGAGGGTGGGTAGTTCTGCCTTTCAGTAATTCTCGTGTACTGGCGACTGACGGTTCGTCTAACACCAGTTCGTGTTATGGCAGTTTTCCATAATAGCGTCAGACTGACGTTACTTTTTTCGTCTGTCATGAATTTGCAGCCATACATGAAGATGGCGGAAGACGATAAAAAGAGATATCAAGACGAGATTGAGAGCCTTGAACCCGCTGACGACGAGTGAAGGTACGTGTATACCTTCTGAAGTTATTTTCCACCTGTGTAAATATCTGCAGCTAGCGGCAATTTCGTTTTGCATTACGTCCGGGTGAGACGGTCATCTTACAAAACACAACGATTTTGTTTCTTGTTATCCACCCACAGGCTTCGGACGGACGCGGCGCGTTCTATGAAAGTTTTTTGTTCATAAGACCCAGGTTTCTTCATTGGAACGTTGAGTTGCACCAAGGTTTTTTGGAGAGCTGGAACTTCTTGAAGGCCTTCAAATTAGTCCCCTTGACCCAGTTATATGTTTTGTCATCCGTAGGCTAGTATTCTCATGTATCTCTAACACCCCTGTCCCTCATTTACTAGTAAAAGTATCCATTCACTCTAGACGTGCGTGACAGATTTACAATAGTAACAGCAGATGATTACGGATTTATGTTATTATAAAGCACATTAGTAGTACGCTGGGCCGTTTGATCAAAAGCCGAGTCAATGATTATGGCGCCTCACGGTCTGAGGCGCCAGCTGTACTGTCTAGGCTATTCACGGAACTATTGTTATGTTCCTTGATCTCAGCATTCAATAGCATACTGGTTGATGTGTTCACCTGAGCAGAGGCATTGAGGGGAAGCCATTTAGCTAATGCAGGGGCCGATGAGTTTGGAAGCAGGGGCTGATGGAAGGGGCAGGAAAAACAGCATGAACACAAGCAGCATGAGCAGAAAAATAGATAGGTAGCAGATTTTAACACAAAAAACTTCATTGCTCTCCATAAAAATACCAAGGCAGAAACTGAGTCATTGTCATGTGAACAACAGACGAGAACAGCAAGCTCACACTCACATAGTGCGTTATGAGCATCTGTGACCCTGTGGGTTGCTCCGAAGATTCCTCCACGAGGATTACGACGAGCAACACTGAGGCAATCACCAGCAGCAGCACCGCCAGGCACCATTGCACCTGCCCTTCCCGCACCTCCCTCCTGTACGGGTCAAGCGACTCCTTGGAATCGCGACCGCCAAAGACAAAGTCCTTAATCTCCCGCGGACTCGGTGGAGGTGGCACGGCCGCGAGGTATGAGAACCAGGAAGAGGAAGGGAGGCTAGGGTCTGCTCTCGAGACGGACATGAGCGGAGAAGAGATAGTGCTGATGCCAACGGCTCTAGGTGCGACGTGTGACGAACTAGGAACGAGTTTCACTACCGTCCGCTTTGGAAACAGGGAGGAGGAATATTAGCGGCGCATGTGGCTTCTGCTCTACAGATGGATTTCTGCCTCGGTCTATCAATGAAACCAACAGGCTGCAAATGATCCAGGTGAATCTACGCTTAGGTTCTCCTGCTACCACACGACCCTTCGCCTGGATGCTTCACTCCGCCTGATGAAACCAAATCACACGAGATACAAATTAGAAGCTAAAAATAAATACGGTACGAATACCCAAGCCCCTGATTACTTATATGCGAACTTGTTGACGAGCTTCACTTGCGTGCGCAAACGCGCGCAGTGCATACGCTGACAGCTGGGAATGTCGTCGCCCATCAAGAAAACAAAATAGCATCACTTGCACCGTCGCCAGAGAGAAGAATCACAGCTGGGCCGGCATGGGGAGGACAGCAAGAAAATATCTGTCATCCTGACAAAGATTGGGAAAAAATCTAGATATGGTACGTGTAGGGTACGTCTATGCACAATCAAATACAGAAGCGGCTACTAATGAGAACAATGGTGTTCTGCTCTCCTTATTGTCAGACCTCCTCACCACCACTAGCCCCTCAGCACCTGCCAGCAGAGATCACAACCTATGCTTTGCATCCTGTTCTTCCTGCTATTGCTGCACTGCCTGCTGCTCTATTCTAGGCTTCTTTCATGCCTGCCTGCCTTTCCCCGACTCGCCTGTTTCTCGCCGCGCCATTCTCGCATATCCTTGTTTTCTCGATCCCTATAGACGGTTCGTGAGTAACGACCAGGAAGTGAGGATTATCTTCCGGCATTTTCCGACGAGAGGAAGATTCCCAACGAATTCTCTTCCTGATGCCGCGTCAGTTCCGCCGCGGATGCAAGACGGTTCGATTCTGAAGTTCGTCTTATGGTTCAAACCGAACACGATTGGAGTAGTATCCACGGGAGGAGACGATACCACCATGATTTTAGCATTCTTTCACATGCCACGAGGCGACTTGAGTTGACTTAGTGGTTCACGGCACGGTAATCACACATCTGGGGTATTATTTCTTAAGGGTTTGACCGCACCCGTGTTGGCCTGTAACCATTCTCTTCTTTTAACCTGCCTCAGGTCAAAGAGGCTTATCCATAAGCCTGCTTGCCTCAGACACGGCAATTTTCCGAAGCGGATTCAATTCCCGTTGCAGTATCCCCTAGTCTCGTAAAGCACGACCAGCTGACGTGGCAGCAGCACCGAACGGAAGAGTTATTGCTCATGGAGGGATCACCAGGAGACCATAGTAGCGTGCAGACGCGGTATTCCCAAGGTCATCAAGAGCAGCCACCCCCGCAAGGGTCATACCAGCAACAATACTGTCAGCAATTCTCACAGTACTTGCAACCTCTGCAAGAACAGCAGCAGCAGCAGCAGCAGCAGCAGCAGCAGCAGCAGCAGCAGCAGCAGCAGCAGCAGGATCCATGGCAATACCCACATCAGGCTCAGGAGCAGCAGCAGCCACAATATGAACAGCAGGCTCATTACTCATACGCACAGCAACAACAGACACACGACTCAGCGTACCAGCAGCAGCAGCAGCAGCAGCAGCAGCAGCAGCAGCAGCATCCGAACAGTCACTCTCAGTACCATACCCAATATCAATACCAGCTGCAACATCCTCATTCAAACCAACACCAGCCTTTGAATACGAACCAGCCTTGGAATCCGAACCAGCCTTGGAATCCGAACCAGCCTTGGAATCAGAATCAGCACTGGAACCCAAACCAGCATTGGAATCCGAACCAGCATTGGAATTCGAACCAGCATTGGAAATCGAACCAGGGTTACCAGCAGCAGCAGAACCCCCCTTCCACCCACCCTCCACCTCCCCGGATATCACCTGCTGCCAGCTCAGCCGAGGCAGCCTCCGTCAACCCCTCTCCTTCAACTTCCACTCGCCCTCCGCCTCCTTGGGTTTCATCTGCCTTTCACCTCTCTGCTCCTGCCTCTGCCGCAGCAGCACTGCCCCACCCACCACTCCCGCCAGCACCACCACCTGAACTTCCACCAGCAGCAGCGGCAGCAGCAGCGGCAGCAGTGCCGGAGCCACCACTAGAAGATCACAGCCATCGTGTTTCCGTTGTGAGTTCAGTTCAGTTCAGTTCTCTTACCATCTTTGCTTAAACAAAAGGCCCTTCTTATAACCGATGGTGGCTGATCAGCGAGAGGCCTTCTATTGGCAACTCTTTATGTGCCACGTACGCACCATTGCTTCTCTTCTCCACCTTCCAAACCTGTCTCTCTCCCCTTCCTACTTCCGCCTCTCCCTCTCCCTCTCACTTCCATCACCCCCCTCAGTCTCTACCGTCTCTCCACCACCTATAAGCCTACATCTCAGCTTTGTTCAAAACCTCACTGCCTCTACCCTTCTGCTCTCCCCCGTCCCAGCTCACCACGCATTCTCCTCTCCTTTCTCTGCTGTGTTTTGAGTCGACTTTGAGTTGAGTTTTGAGTCGACTCATAACTCGAAGCACCACCACCACCTCACTGCCTCTTCCCTCCTGCCCCCCCCCCCTTCCCAGCTCACCATGCATTCTCCTCTCTCTGCTCTGCCCCCATGCTTGTGCTGCAACCCAACCTTTTCTGTGACGCTCCCTCTTGAACTCCTCCCACTTCTGTTCCCCTTTTTCTTGTGCGCGCCCCCCTTCTGCTCCCCCTCCCCCTTGTGCGCGCCCCCCTTCTGGTCCCCTCCCCCTTGTGCGCCCATCCCTCTCCTGTCCATATGCCCCCCCCTTTTTGTCCGTATCCGCCCCTCTCCCCGCCTGGTGCACAGGCAGCCTTCTAATCAACCTGCTACCTACGGTTCTGTTGCTCCTCCAAGTGGCGAGCAGCGCACTCATGCTAGTGACGTGGCATATGACTCGTTCCAGCCTGCTGACGTGGCGTGTGACGTGTCCCTGTCACGTGTGCTGCACGAGGGCAGCGAGAGGAATGAGAAGGAGGATGTAGAGGGAGTAAGGGAGATGGAAGGAAGAGGAGGTATAGGGGAGGCAGGCAAGAGAGAGAGTGTGAAAAGAAAGTTTGTATCAGGAGAGAAAGAGGAGAGGCAGGAGAAGGAGAGGAAGGTCGAAGGGGACGGGAGGGTTGATAAAGGGAGTATTGAGCCTCTTCGTCCACCTCCTCCCCTTGCTCCTCATACCGCTGCCGCGCACCCGCCTCCCTGCCCTCGCCCTCGCCCAGTAATCGTATGGGACCTTGATGAAACCCTAATTATCTTCCAATCGCTGCTCTCCGGAAAGTTCGCCAAGACTCTTTTGGCAGACAGGGAGTCAGCGGGGGCAAGTGGGGCAGGGGGGAACTGTGGCAGAGTGGTGGAGGCGGGGGGAAGCGACAGCAAAAGGGTGGAGCAGCGGGCACGGGAGTTGGGCGAGGCGTGGGAGAGGTTGATTCTTGACGTGTGTGACGACCACTTTTTCTTCAAAGAGGTGAGCGCGCTTGTGTGTGTGCGGAGGGAAAGACACAGAATGGGAGAGGGGTAGAGGAGCGGGCAAGGGGGCTGGGGGAGGCGTGGGAGAGGCTGATTCTTGACGTGTGTGACGACCACTTCTTCTTCAAAGAGGTGAGCACCACGTGTGTGTGTGTGTGTGTGTGTGTGTGTGTGTGTGTGTGTGTGTGTGTGTGTGTGTGTGTGTGTGTGTGCCTTTGTGTGTGCATGTGTGCTGAGCAATGGGGTGGAGGAGTGGTTGAGTTCAGAGAGGTGAGTGCCGTGCGCACACAGCATGTGTGCAAGGACGCCGTTTTCTTGTGAAAGGTGAGCTGCTGTGTGTGGGGACGTGGGGGCTGTCGTGGAAGAGGAGGGGGGGGGAAGGGGTGGGAAGGGGTTGGTGCATTTGTGCGTCTGCATCTGTGCATGCATGTGCATGTGTGCGTGCATGCACGCGTGCACATGCGCGTGTACGGGTGCGTGGGCATGTGTATGTATACGTGCGTGTGTGTGAGTGCGCGTGTGCGTGCATGCACGTGTGTGTTCATGCATGCAAGCATGCGTGCATGTGTGCGAGTGCACATGTGTGCGTGCATGTGCGTGTGCATGCATGCGTGCGTGCTTTGTGCATGTGCGTATGTGTGCGTGCATGTGCGTGTGTGTGGGTGCATGCACATTGCATCTATGCCGCCTTACCTCGACTTTCCGAAGAGATTATTACCCATCACCGCATTTCAGCACACACCCCATCCGACCTTCTCTCATCCCATATTGTTCTCACCTTGTATCGCAACCCACCTCTTGTCACCCCTTAGAAACATGCTGCAGTTCACATCAACCCATCCCCGTTTCTCCCATATCTCTCATGTTCTTGGCTCTGTCTTGCCACGTCAGCTTGAGGACGTGGACCTCCCAAACTTGTGCCACGTGGAAGCTGGTAGCAAGCCTGCTGACGTGGCATCGCCGAACCACGGCGATGGTTCCATAGCACGCCCTAAACAACCAGCAGTTTCTGCCTGTTCTGACGTGGATGCTGATGCGGTGGGTTGGCATGAAAGCCGGATGGTTGCAGAGCGGTTTCAGCGGATAGAATCGGCATACAGGAAGGTAATTACGGTTTCTTCAAAGGCGTCACTTCAATTTGCTTCTGTAGTTACACTCCCAACCCGATTCTTGTCCTTTAGAGGTCCTGCCCCTCGGGTATTCCGTTTCGTGGATTCTCTTCTTTAATTACATTCCATACTCTCATTGAATTCTGTTAATAAGACACCTATCATGATTTTTTAGAATTCTAAAAAACCAGCTCTAATCACATTCCATACTCTCATAGAATTCTGTTGATTAAGACATCTATCATGTTGCCTACCCCTCCTTGACCCAGCAGGGCATTTCGTCCCTCCTCACACCAGCCCAAGAGGCGCACAGGCAGCAGCTATACGCACAGACAGACAGATTCACCCACGGGTGGTTGGCAGCAGGTAGGCGGGTGAGTGCAGGGAGGAGGGCAGGTGCGTGTTGAGTCGACTCAAGAAGTGTGTTTTAGATAGGACCAAAGCAGAAGAGGCACACAGGAAGCAGCTGTACGCACAGACAGACAGATTCACCCACGGGTGGTTGGCAGCAGGTAGGTGGGCGGGTGGGTGCAAGTGGAGTGTGGAGGGCAGGTGTGAAGTCACTTGTTGCTTGAAGTCAGCTGCTTTGATTCTAATCACTGTGTCACACCCCAATCTCCTCTCATCCTATCTCATCTCATCCCATCCCATCCCATCCTATCCCATCCCATCCCATCCCATCCCATCCCATCTCATCCCATCCCATCCCATCCCATCGCATCCCATCCCATCGCATCCCACCCCATCCCATCCCATCCCATCCCACCCCATCCCATTGCACCGTGCTACACCACTCTAGGTCGGGCCATGCTGGCTGAAGCAGGGGTTGCCACCTCAACAGCAGCAGCAGAAGCCGAAGAAAGGAGAGCAGCCGAGACTGGATCAGCAAAGGCTGCAGCGGCAGAGGGTGGTACGGGGGCAGTCAATGTGATCGTTTCTTCTGGGCAGCTCATTCCAACCCTTGCCAAATGCCTGTTGTTCAGCCTCGATCCCTTCATCTGCCCGACCAACAGTAAGTCAATCCTCTTATCTGCCCGACCAACAGTAATTCAATTGTCTCCTATGCCTTGACCGAGAGACGTTGGCTGTAAGAGCACTTACATCTGTTATTCTGTGGTTTGTTATGGGTTTACTCTATTTGTTACTTATCACTTGTAAGGTGGTTATGGTCAATCGTGCCTAGAGCAATCGTGCTGCGTAAAATCTCTCATGTGGTTGTTGAGGGGGTCTTTTGAGGCGCCTCAAAAGCAATTGTGCTGCGTAAAATCTCTCATTTTGATGAGTAGGAGCCTCATTGTTGAGGGGAACTTCATAATCTCCGCGGTACATCGTTTGCATAATTTGGACATGTCCCAAAATCGGTGCATCTTTTGCAATGTGCCAAGCCTGTGTGAGTGCTCATGCTACAACGGGGGGTTCCCTGGCGTTTGAGAATATTCGAAGCAGTACCTTGCAGCCATCGCAGACTTTAGGAAAGCAATTTCTGGAATTCCCACAGAATCACTTGCAACGTGCCAAGCCTTTGTGAGTGCTCACGCACGCTACAGCTGTGGGGTTCGGTGCAACTGTATATATTCCTTACAAAAAAAGCCTTACAGATTGTGGCAGGTCTTTGCAAGCAAAAAACCTCTTCAATTGCGGAATTTGCTGTGAAGAAAACAACCCCCCTCAGCAACACATTTCCTCTCTTCAATGGGTACATTCAATTCTCCCGTCTATTTCGCCATGCCCCTTCCAGTCCATAGCTCTCGCATGGAATGCAAGCTCGTGTGCTTCAAACACATTCGACATCGCTACAGGGATGGTTGCCATTGCTTCAAGCTCTTGATATTTCTCGCCCTGCCCTGTGCAGTCCACAGCTCTCGCAGGGAAGGCAAGCTCGTGTGCTTCAAACGCATCCGAGACCGCTTCAGCGATCGTCACAGCAACAGGCACTCCGGCGCGGTTACCAGCACCGTTACCAGCACCTGGGAAGGGATTGCTGCAGATGCTGTGTGCTGTAAAACATCCCAAACGGTGCGAAGCGGTGAGCATCGGTTCGTGGCGGTGGGGGATGGGTGTGAGGAGGCAGCAGCGGCACGAATCATGGGGTGGCCTTATGTGAGAGTGGATGCAGCATGGGAGGACATGCGCCTGACAAGCATGTCTTTGGCACAGATACTGCAGGCACGCGCGGGATGACATGATAGCAAGCGTGTTATGAGTCAACTCAAAACACACCTTTGAGAGTGGATGCGGCATGACATGACATGCGCCTGACAAGCATGTCTTTGGCACAGATACTGCAGGCACGCGCGGGATGACATGATAGCGTGTTATGAGTCGACTCAAAACACACCTTTGAGAGTGGATGCGGCATGACATGACATGCGCCTGACAAGCATGTCTTGGGCACAGATACTGCAGACCCGTGTGGGGTGACACATTGGCAGGCACACAGGCGCCAGGTGCCTTAGCAGCAGCAGCAGCAGCAGCAGCAGCAGCAGCAGCAGCAGCAGCAGCATCAGGTAGCGGCAGCAGCAGCAGCTGCTGCTGCAATCACTGTCTCACAGCTGCAAGCACTGTCTCACTGCTACAGTCACAGAGATATGTGCATTCCTTCCCAGTTATTACCCCTGTAGGTTCATCCAGGTAGGATCCTCTACAATATATGAAGTCCATTTGCTTGTGTTTGTGATTTGGATTGGATTCCTGCAGATTTGATCCTCACAAAATAATCACCCTGACCATTAAAGCCCGAACCTAGACCTGGGTGGGACATTCCAGAAACAGCTGCAATCCCAACTTCCAGGATTCAATCTTGTTACGGCTGCAATGGATCGAGGTAGCGAGGATTGCACTAGAGTGTCAAACGAGTACAAAATGTGAGCGAAGGCATGAGCGAACATTTATACACGAAACATGCAAACGGTAACGCGGTGCGTGCGAGCTAGCTAGTGCTAGGCTGGCATCGAGGTTCGGGCTAGTCCCGAAGCGTAGGCCGACACGGCCGGGCCAGCGTTGCATGGTTTGGTGAAACAGTGCGTGCGAAGTCAGCGAAGCCCCGTTAGTAGTAACGGGCGAACAACGGCTGCTGCTGTACGCGATGTTGCGGGTCGCGGTAAGGAATGTCGAGAAAATTCCTTACGTTGGCCAGGGGCACCCAGCTATCCTCAGTTGGTGTGCGGTCCTTCCAGCGAACGGGGAACTCGATCCTCTTGATGCTTGTGGGGTGTCGAATCCGATGGCTCAGAATTTTCTCGGGGTCGATGATCGGCTCCGTTGCAGGGCGAAACATGGATGGCGGGGGATGACGAGGCAGTTGGCTAGTGGTTGGGATGTACGGGCGAAGGAGGCTGACGTGGAATGATGGGCTGATGTACCAGTCGATTGGCAACAGTAGATGTGCGGTTAATGGCGTAATCATGTGGCTGATTTGGAACGGTCCACAGTAGCGGGGTCGGAGTTCTGGCACGTCGGGCAGACGTAAGTTTTGCGTGTCGACCAATACATAATCGCCTGACAGGTACGTGACCGGGCGAGGTGGGTGTTAGCGTTTCACTTAGCGATGACGTTTGTCTTTTCAATTGCTTCGGCGGCTCTGGTTCGGGCAGCTTGCAGAATCTCGGCGAATTGCTGTGCGCGTGGCGTGGGGTTGTCCGGACTCGGCGTCATGGGCACTATTGGATTTTGCCCGTAGTTCAGGTAGAACGGGGACTGCTGCATCGTCGCTGATGTGGCGTTGTTGTATGCAAACTCGATCCGCGGCAGCTGCTGCTCCCAGGTTGTCGGGTCGTCGAACGTGGCACGAATCAACTGCTCCATCGTCTGATTCGTCCGCTCCGTTTGACCGTCGGTCTCGGGGTGGTACGACGAGCTGAACTGGAGCCTTGTCCCGAACTGCTCCCAAAGGTACCTCCAGAAGTTGCTGGTGAATTTCGTGTCGCGATCGCTGATTATTGCAGCTGGTATCCTGTGCAGACGAACGACGGTTGCAATGAACAGGCGAGCGGTTTCTTCGGCTGAGATCAATTTCTTGCACGTAGTGAAGTGTGCCATTATCGCCAACCTGTCAACGACGACCATCACCGCGTCGTTACCCCCAGGGTTCGAAGGTAACCCCGTGACGAAATCCATGGTAACCTGCTGCCAGGCGCGCTCAGGCGGTGGAATCTGCTGCGATTGACCCGCCTTTCTTTTTCGCGAGCTCTTCATCACCTGACACGTAGGATACGAGCCCACGTGGTGCTATACGTCGGTCAACAGCTCTGGCCAGTACCAATTGTCAGAGGTCCACTGGTGATCCCCGATTGATCCTAGGGAAGGGTTACAGGCATGTTGGCCTGGGGGGTTATGGGCGCACTGACCCGCTACTTAACAAGCCCTTTTATCCCAATGGTCTAGTGGTTGGGATTCTAACATGGTATCAGAGCGAAGGTCTCGGGTTCAAATCCTAGTGTGTGCATTTCGGGCATCCCAGTGTGGGAGGGTGTCAGAGGTCCACTGGTGATCCCCGATTGATCCTAGGGAAGGGTTACAGGCATGTTGGCCTGGGGGGTTATGGGCGCACTGACCCGCTACTTAACAAGCCCTTTTATCCCAATGGTCTAGTGGTTGGGATTCTGACAACAATACCGCTGCAGTTGCTGTCGCGTTTTTTCTACCCCGAAGTGTCCCGAGGTAATCCCGTCGTGTGCCTCCTGCAGTAACAGTTCCCTCAGTAGTGAGTACGCGGGTACCCAGATGCAGTTGGTGCCTGTTTTTACGTAATAGACTCCCTTTGCTTCTGTCAGTTGCTGTGAATTGCCGGTCGTGAAAAAGGGGTCGGTATGGTATCCGTGGGTAAATAGTCCTGTCAATAGTGGGTTGGTTCGGGCGAGTAGGATGGTGTGGAGTTTGGCGGTAGGGCGGGTAAGTGCGTCGGCGATATTTGATGCACCTTTCTTGTACGTGACGGAGTAGTGGAAGTTGGACTCCAGATAGTTCAACCAGCGGATCAGTCGCGGGTTGAGATTTGGTTGGGCGCGAAGGTACTGTAGTGATCGGTGGTATGTCAGTACTGCCACGTCTGTGTCAGAGTATTATAGCTCATGCATGTTTGTAGGCTATAGTGGGGTAGCACATATGGGGTACAGCTTTCTAGGGTTGTATTTGTACCCAATCTTTCCTTAGTCAATCCATTCCTGTTTTCCTGTTTCACATGGTATAGAGCGGGTCCTGCCTTAGGACCGTTTTTTTAGGGCCCACCGAAGCGCGCCCCGAGGCGCGCCTTTTTTTTAGCGACCCCTCGGGTCGCCTTTTCCCTCGCGGCCCCGCTGTCCCTCAGACGCGGCCCCGCCACCTCTCCTGATCGCGGCCCCGCCGCCTCTCCTGACGCGGCCCCGCCGCCTCTCCTGACGCGGCCCCGCCGCCTCCCCTGACGCGGCCTCGCCGCCTCCCCTGACGCGGCCCCGCCGCCTCCCCTGACGCGGCCCCGCCTCTACTGCCGCGGCCCCGCCGCCGCCTCTGACGCGGCCCTGCCGGCCCGCCGCTGCACCCTACGGCCCGCCCCTGCACCCTACGGCCCGCCGCCTCACCTGACGGCCCCGCCGCTGCTCCTGCCGGCCCGCCGCTGCTCCTGCCGGCACTCCGCTGCACCTGCCGGCCCGCCGCTGCACCTACCGGCCCGCCGCTGCACCCAACGGCCCGCCGCTTCGCCTGACGGCCCCGCCGCTGCACCTGCCGGCCCGCCGCTGCACCCTACGGCCCGCCGCTGCACCCTACGGCCCGCCGCCTCTCCTGACGGCCCCGCCGCTGCTCCTGCCGGCCCGCCGCTGCGCCTGCCGGCCCGCTGCTGCACCCAGCGGCCCGCCGCTTCACCTGCCGGCCCGCCGCTGCACCTGCCGGCCCGCCGGTGCACCTGCCGGCCCGCCACTGCACCGGTCGACCCGCCGCTGCACCTGACGGCCCCGCCCCTGCATCTCCCGGCCGAGCCGTCCCAGCAGCCGAACCGCCCGGGAGCCGAGCCGCCCAACGCCGAGCCGCCCGGGAGTCGAGTCGCCCTGCACCCGAGCCGCCCAGCCGCCGAGCCGCTCGGGAGCCGAGCCGCCCTGCGCCCGAGCCGCCCAGCCACCGAGCCGCCCGGGAGCCGAGCCGCTGTGCACCCGAGCCGCCCGGTCGCTGAGCCGCCTTTCTGCAGAGCTACACGACCTGCCCTGCCTGGTGAGCACAGTCCCACTGACACTGCGAGCTCTTTCCCTACTGCTTGCACTGCGTCGCTGTCGTCGCCATGGCTACCCCTAGTGTCCTAGCTTTCGACGCTGAGGGTCGCGCCATTGATTTTGAGGTCTGGTTAGACGACCTGCAGCTGTTCTTACAGTGCGACAGGGCTGACGACCTTTCTCTCTTTGACCTCACCTCTGGCGCCTCTCCTGCTCCTGCTGCTGATGCTGATCCCTCTGTCCGCTCTCAGTGGGCCACCCGCGATGCTGCTGCACGTCTTGCTGTGCGTCGCCACCTCCCTACCTCTGAGCGTGCGCACTTTAGCCAGTACAAGAGTGCTCAGACCTTGTACGACGCTGTAGTTGCGCGCTACTCCTCCCCTGCCACTGCTGCACTGAGCCGTCTCATGCTTCCCTACCTCTTTCCTGACCTCTCTGCCTTTCCCACTGTTGCTGACCTCATTACGCACCTCTGCACTAGTGACACTCGCTACCGCGCCGCCCTTCCTGCTGAGTTCTGCGCTAAGACCCCCCCCCCCCATGTACATCGCTCTCTACTACGTAGTCGCGCGCCTCCGTGACTCCCTTCGCGTCGTCAGGGACCACTTTCTCGCTGTCTGTCCCACCACCCTCACCGTCGACCTCCTCGAGAAGGCCCTCCTCGCAGCGGAGAAGAGCATAGTCGCTGTAGGTGCTTCTCGTGGTGACCCTCGCACCCCCATCTTTGAGGGGTGCTCTCCTTCCCCCTTGCTGCCCTCTGTTGCCTCTGCTGCTGCTGCCGACCTGCTTGGTCTTGAGTCGGTCGGCGCGGCGTCTACCCCTAGTGGGAGACGTCGCTCTAGCAAGGGCAAGGGGGGCAAGGGCGCGGGTGGAGCTGGAGGGGGCGGTGGCGGTGGCGGCGGTGGCGGCGGAGGGAGTGGGGGTGGTGGCGGGACTAGTGGCGGGGGTGGTGGTGGTGGTGGTGGCAACAGCAGCGGAGACGGTGGTGGTGGTGCCAGCGGT